ATTTACCTTCATCTTATGTATCTAAGGTAATTACTAAACAAAAACAAAATCCCATCATACCTTTTTCTTGTAAGCATCATTGACAGGTGACATATATCCTCCAATGACACAATACCCCTCTGCATTCAAGGCATCTCTCGCCAGCTCTAGGCATAAAATCAAGGCATTACACAGCACACACATAAGCATCAATAACTCTGAATTGCAGCAATAACATTCACTAATTTCTTCAAACCAAATGAAATTAAGAAACACCCAAGCAAAAAAATTTTTTTTAAAAAAAGAAACTCACCAAACATCCGTAAATGCATAAAAGTAGGAGGATTGAAGCTCCCAGTAGCTACTAACACAACATACATCTTGTCCCCACTTTGAAAATAGAGAACCCAGGATTGAAAAATAAGATTCATGGGAATTATTAACTAACCCTTGAAGCAGGAACATAAAATAAAAACAAAAAACTTACTTGGTTATTGATCCTAAAGATAATTTATCCTGAGGCAATGGAGTATCCATTTGAACTGAAAAAAAAACCTGAAAAAAGGAAGATAATTTAAAAATGGGTTCTCAATATTTCTCAATTTAAACCACAATTTTCAAGGAAAATCACAACCTTTGACAATTATCATACCTTGAACAGCAGAGAAATTGAAAGAAAGGAAGAGGTCCTGATGCCAGACGATGAAGATGATGATCGCTTACTAATAATAAAACCAAAATAAACGTTGATCAAGTGTTGTAGCGTAAAAACTGATTTTGACGAATACTTAGCGATCCAATTTTTGACCCAAAAGTAAAAAACATTTGAGACGCTAAGCGAAGCTTAACTTGACCTTACTTTGACGGTGCTGGGATGAAATTGCAGAGGCAGACTTTTGGGTACGTTAACTCCCTGAACTTATCTTAAATTTTTTATTAAGTCTTTAAATTTTTATTAAATCAAATAAGTTCCTAAACTTTGTGATTTAGACAATTTAATCCCTTTTTTTTGTGACAGATTGAACGTTCTTTTGCGCATCGCTTCCGTGGATAAGAATAATTGAATAAGCACAAATCGGCATTAAGTTTGTAATGAGAATGAGGATTAAATTACTTAAATTGATAAATTGAGGGTTTGTTTACTTCAATACAATTTAAGGGTTTAATTAAAATTTGAGGTAAGTTTGGAGCTTTAATATAGGATTTTGCCTAGATTTTTTTTTCTTTTACCTCTTAAAAATATTATAAAATATATTTACTTATTTATTTTAATTAACATTTTATATATTTTCAAAAGAGTAAAAATTTACTTATACATAATTTTTATATATCATACTTATATAAAATTTCAGTAATTTATATTTTTATTTTTAATGATTGAAATTTATTCATATTTATTAAAAATAATAATTTTTTAATCTAAAAAAATCTATAATAAAACTTTTATAAAGAGATAATTATTTAAAATTTTTTATAAATATAATATATATAACTTATATTTAATTAATTTTTTAAGTAACAAACAAATAAAATTTAAAAATTGAAATGCAGATATGAGTGTTCCCGAAAAGGAAGTCCAAATATTTAGATTAGTGGATTTGGACAAGGAGGACAGAAGAGTGAGGGTAGATGTCTCTTTTATCTTGTTTGTTTTTTTTTTTAACTAATAAAGAGAGGGGGATGGAGAGATGATAAAATCCCCTCTGCCCCTGTATGTTCTATCCTTCAAAGAGATCGTAAAGAATTTAATTTACATTTTTAATATTTTACTTTTTTAAAAAATAAATGTATAAAAATAGATGTGAAGATTGAATGACTGATTGGACATAAGCCGGCCGCATGCTTTCCGCAGCGGCCGGGGGGCTCCCCCCCTCCTTCCCTTCTCCAACCTCCAAGGATTTGTAGCCAATTGCGTTTGCGTAAAATTGTTGGAATTTTGGAATTGTACTTGCCACCCACTCACTCTCCCATGGACATATGGCGATGAGCAGCCAAATTGACTGATTTGACATGAATGCACAAACAGAAATTGAGGTGATATATCATTTTTTATTTTTTATTTTATTTTATTTTTTTTCGAATTTCATTCTAAAACTTCAACAATATCCATTTCGTCGTTTCTAGATTAAAACGATTTTTCTTTGAAAACAGGTTATGTAATGATTAAAATGATTGGGAGTTTAGGGAATGCCGACATTTTAGGGAAATGTGACAAAAGATATTTATTTCCCCTATTTTTAAATTATCTAACTAACATGTAATGCAAGCTAAGTTTAAACGTTTTTGGTTTAATTAAAATTTTAATATTTTATTTTATTTTTTAATTATTTAATTAAATAAAAATATTTTCTTTTTTCATTTTTATTTTTATCTATTTAAATAAAATTAATATTAATTCTTTTATTCCCTTCATTTTTCCACTTTTCCTTTCCCTGTCTTCTTTTTTTTTTCCTTTATTAAATTCTTTTTAGTATTAATTTTAAGGTATTTGATAACTACATTAAATTTTAATTAATTCAAAATCAACTCATTAAAATAAACTCTCTTAACATTTATTTCTCTATTTATAAAATTTAAATTTAAAATTTTATTTAAAAAGAACCAAATCTCTTTTATTAATATGTTGTTGCTTCCTTTATTAAATTTTATCGAACAAATCCTTGAAAGAAGACGGCGTGTCCAGGGCGGCAGAAGCGAAAAACATTTTAACGACACCGGATGAGTTGAAACGCAGCGTTTTGAACCCTTATATTTCAAAATTTGCCCTCCTAAGGCAAAAGCCTAAGAATAGCCCCTTACCTTGATAAGTTGGATGGTTTTGGCCCCTCACCTTATAATATAACGATTTTAA